AAAATAACAGAGCCCCCCCCCCCCCCCTCGAGTCAGTTTCTTAAAAGATTGAAATTAAATATAAGAGCAGGGTGCCATCAGGAAATGGTGTCAGGAAAATAGATTTTCATAGCAGCACCCGGTGCATTTTCCATAAGATCAATGGCGTAGCTATATATAGTTTGTGACGTCAGAAGCGGGTAATGATTTTTGGTGGGGTTTTTCTCTCCAGACAAGCATGAACAATATATCGAAGGCAGTGGCGTAACCAGGGATTGTGGTTGGTGTGGACTGTACCGAGTGGCACCATCACAGGAGTTGACGCATAAAGGAAAACGGCAGATCTAACATAACTGATTGTAGTTACACACAAGTGACACAAGAACATAATGCCACCAGATACATCTTGCATTACAGTCAGCAATCTTCTCATGGCTATGCTTATCATAAAGTTAGTATTGCTGAGCTGTTCGGAGATTTTGGACTTAAAGAAAAAGAGACACTTCTTTGAAAATACATTCAAGAAAGAAAATGATAGCTTAAATAGTCTTTATAAACTTAAAAACTCAACATACACGATGAGAATTTTCAGACCAGAAAAGAATGTTACCCAGATCCCAGTGTCGAACCTTGACTAAATGGCGTTCGAAGCGACCTCCCAAATCGCGCCCCCGTATACACATCTAATTCACGGTAAATTTGTATTTGTAATAAAATACAAAAGTCTTATCCGGTGTGGTTGCCCCTTCAAACCATTAGCCTTTGGTATGCAACAGGCCTGGGTAAAGCCATTCCGGTTTCAACCCTTATATTATAGGTCTTGTTTACTTTCATTCATCTTTCCTGGTGGATGAACTTAAGCTGACCCCAAGTTCGGCAGCGCTATTAGGGTGTGGCTAGCGAAATATAGTCTCCCTTGACCTCGGTTACAATTAACTAAAATCTATGGTCTGTATTATTATTAGAATTCTGTAGAATTATGTAGAAGGATTGAGAAAGGAATACAGTGCGTAAGTCCGTTTCGAGAAGTATCTATGAAACAGGCTATATAATTGGGCGACAGGAGGCAGATCAGACGAGAGTTATTTTGAGCGTGTGCTATTTTTGCTATAGAGCTTTGCTACGAGACGAGAGATTTGATTACTGTGTGTGTGTAGATTCCTTTTCATCATTGTACCTTTTTTTCAACATTGTATCTTCTTCAACATTTAAACGGTACAAGCCAATCATTATACTGTAAGTTAATAGCTTTAATTATATTTCTTTTTGCAATTTATTTTTAACCTAATAAAATTTATTAATTGTAATTAGCCCTGGTTTGAGTATCGTATTCTTTGTTATTGTATTTATCATAATATGGTTTCGTCTTTTGTTGTGTACTGTTTTAAAACGAGCCATATCCTTAAATGAGAGATTAATTTCTCCATACTGATAACAACAAGGGTCGGCGACTTTTAAGCCATTACCCCAAAATATATATATATATATATATTTAATTTACGCTGGTGTTACCCTCGTTTCGAAAGAAAGAAAAAAAGTTTATTCCATCTATTTATACAGAGCATACCAATATAGATATAAACGTACAAAATGCATTCAATAAAATGAATTAATAAAATCCTCATTGTGGAACAAAAGCATTTCTTTGAAAAATGGGATCTTCAAATTTTGAAGAAAAGATGTTTCATTTTTTTAAAAATAAAATGACACCAAAATTGGGGATGTTTCAAATCAGATAAATTCGGATAATGTCAATGGGGTTAAACAATTTATTTCTAAACTTTGTTTTTATGTTCATCTGAGTGGGGGAAAAAAATCTTGGTCGCAAAGGTTGTTGCAACTTTTTGACTGCCTCATAGTGAGCAATTTTGAAAACCTTTGCACATCTTCACGTTTTGAGCATAAGAAGTAGGGTAAATAGGAGTGTGGGGAAGTGGCCCGCACTCGGGGACATCCTCACAGAGAGTAGACACCTCACAATGGGATGCCACCCTTACATGGGGCATGACACCAAATGAAAACGGATAAATTTGACTGAGCTCGATCGAGTCGGTTTCATAACACATTTTAATACAAGAACAGGTTTCCATCTGTCGCCATCTGAGCTAGAGTACCACCAGAGCAGGTTGCTACCAGAGAAGGCTGACTCAGAGAAGGTCCATAGAGAAGTCTGTATGTGGTGACGCCATGAGTTTACTGCTCTGGGTAGAACCAGTTCTAGTGACGCCTCTGGGCATAAGATTAAATAGGCTACTTGAAAAAAAAAAATGACTTATACAAGACGAGGCATGAACGTCATGAGTGCAAGGTGCCGAGTCCCACTTGTAACGAAAAGTTATGGGCAATACTCTAAGGTTTGTTGGTACATTATGTGCAAAATCATACAGTTGTGTGCAAAGTTTTACAGCATCAATTTTTGTGTGTGCAAAATTTTACAGCCTTCAAACATAAACACACACTTACATGGAAATTTGCTGCGTGGATACTCAAAACTGCTACGCGGCGTCTGTGAGATAGCTGCTCGGCCACGCAGCCGCGCAGCTTAAAGGGAACATTGGTTATGGGGTGCGTTTGGCTTTTACACAGGCCAATACTACGTTAAAAACACGCTTTAAATTAAATTACATTTATTTATATTGAGCCCTCATTCCCCCCACCACCACCACGATTTCTATTTTTACCAGATTTAGGTTAATTTACCCAGTTCCCCGACAACTGCCTAAAAATGAAATGGTGTTTTGGGTCGGTGAAGATAGCGCGAAGTTGGTGTAGTTTAATTGTGTCTCTCATACTGAAACCGCTGTTTAAAATCAGTTTAAAATATTAATAAAGTAGGTATGTTGAAACATTAAAAATATATAACAAATTATATGGTTTTAAAATTATCCAGTCAATTAATATTAACCCATCTTGGGGTGGTGATCGGGGGGGGGGGGGGTCACAGAATAATCATCGAAATAGAGTTTGCAAATAAAAATTGTCTGTTGGGGATTGTCTTCTTTCCATTAAACACCAAAACGTACCTATAGACAATTTTTATTGCCGGTTTGTTTTTCACCGATTTTACTAATAGTAAGTTGTATATAATTCAACCTTACATTATCAAATTTTCACCAAATAAAGTTATTATAATTTTAAAAATCTAGTTCTTTTACTAATAAAAAATGTAAAGTTTCAAAATATTATTTTAAATTGAGATAATATAAACATCTTACAGTTTACACGATTGAAACAAATCTGGCCCTTAATGGCTGACAAATTGCATCAGTCAATTTCATTACATTTACTCCACATGTGAAAATATATTACATTTTATATTACTATCAGGTATATTTATATTCTTTAAAAAGTAGTAACTTTTTAGGATTAAAGATATAAGATATTAGAATTGAAATTTAGTTTTAATACTATGGTATTTATTTTTTAAAAATTCAATTGACTTCATTGTGAATTGCCGGCACCCTCCCCTGTTTCAGGCTGTTAATCTGTAACCGACGCGTTTAGTGTTGGTTACTGAAACTGGTGTAGCCATGTATGTAGTGGCCTGTAAGTGTAGTCGACTCCTCAATATTAGGGATAAGCCACCAGTATTTATTTTAGTTTATTGATAATAAACTTATGCAGACCTATGTTTTTCAGTTGGGGCCATCCATGTAAAATCATTTTTCTAAGCGAAATGCAGCTGCATCATTTTTATGGCCCTATCTATATTATAATTATATAGTCTATTTAATTTATATAATATATGGTGGTGGGGGTCACTGCATCATATTCATTATAATCATGTCAGGCACATTAATACCCACATTCTGCAATAGTTATCCTGAAATGTTTACAGTCCTAAATTCAAATTGTCCAATTATTTCTCTAATAATAATAAAGTAACGTTTAGTAAAGCAAAGCCAACTTCACTGTCACCAGTAGTAAAATCCATGAATTCTAATTATTTTTTATGGCTTTAACTTTAAAATATCAGCAGTGTTTTGGAGGCCTATTATCATCATCATGCATAGTTACATGCTTTTACTTTGTGTTTCACAATTGTTCTTACTAAAAAATCAGTGATATTATTTAATATTATCACAACAGTGGTCAGTGGGTCAACAGTAAAGTTTTGCCTAGTGACATTTTTTAAGTCCACCTCTTGCCTTTGTATGCTTCTGTACGAGGGATGTAATTAGTTACTTGAACATTTCAAGACTTTTGTATTAATTTCGTTCAGCTGAAAACTTATTATATTTGCTACACCAAACAGACAACAGTAGCTAAAAGGGGACCTAATTATACAGATTACTGATTCATTAAATTGCCTTATCTTATACTATACCTCCTCAAAATTGTACCGGTATACAAATAAATTGAAACTGGTTGTTTGGGTTGAAAGTTCTCATCTGAACATATGCATGAGGTCAATGGTTTACAAAAATTACAAGTGCAACAAGGGAGGGGCAATGAAAACTTTTATTTCTTTTGTGTCTGCTAAACATTTATGACCCTCCTTTCAAGCCTCATGGACCCTTAATTACTTAATTTTGTGTGAAAATTTTTATCTGAATTTCTTTTATTCAATATTTTGTATCCTTAATCTTACCATTTAATAGGCTACATATGCCTAGGGCGGCGATTCCCAAACATTTTTTTGGGTGTTATTTTTGTACTTCTCCTTCCTTTACAATATATGACCCACTAATATTTTTTACCGGTATCTCTTATTCTGGCATAAGGGTAACATAAAACAGTTATGAATGTTCAGTTTTTTGTTTCAATACAGAAAAATATACTTTTAAAAAATGAAACTGAGCAAACAGAAACTTGGTAATTATTCTAATTTATTCATAAATGAGACGTGTGATGGCCCTGTACTGGGTTGCAAGTCGGCATGTAGAAAGTACATCTGGCCAAGGGTATCTTGCCCAAGGGACATTGCAAAGTTTTTTGCTCTCTTCATTATGGTTAAGTAGTTAAATCATAATAATATGTGATATGACTACAAATGAATTAAAATTGGGCTGAAGTATTTTTTACTTTTTAAAAATTCTCCCTATCACCTAATCTATCATAACTATTAACAACAAATGTTGCAATGCCAAACAGTAAATGTGTTACAGATTTTAAATTTTTCGTCATAAATCCTTTAGTAAGGTTACATTTTTTTGTGCAAGCTATAGTTTGAAATACACACATCAGCAAAAACATTTTAGGAAAAAGCAGCACTGACCTTGTGAAATTTTTTTTAAATTACAGAATTAACTTTTCAAAATGGTACTTACTTGCCGTTTTTACAAGAACAAGTTTCCAGAAGTGGAGGATGTTGTTATGGTCAATGTACGATCCATAGCAGAAATGGGAGCATATGTGAGACTTTTAGAGTACAATGACATTGAGGGTATGATTTTGCTCAGTGAATTGTCTAGAAGACGTATTCGCTCAATAAACAAACTCATTCGAGTTGGACGAAGTGAGTGTGTCGTGGTCATTAGGGTTGACAAAGATAAAGGTATGTAGCATTCATCTTAATTTTAATAGTTATTTTGAATTTACCTTTATGTACTGAAACAGGCATTGTTGCAACTGAAAAATTATATATCAAACTCTGGATTTTTTAAAAATTTGCTTACACTTACAGGATACATTGATTTGTCCAAGCGTAGAGTTTCCCCTGAAGAGGTCATCAAGTGTGAGGAAAAATTTGCAAAGGCCAAAGCAGTATGTGTGCAAGTTGTCTGCCAGCTAAACTTTTAAGCTTTATATATATAACTTTAATTTGTGTTCATTCTAATCACATTTTAGTTTTAAATTACTTCAATTGAAAAATTGGTTTTATTTCAATGTATCAGTTTAAATGGGAGATCTTTTTTACAGATATTTTTGTTAATAAGCCATATGACGACTTAACCATTAATAATGCATATTTTTTCCACAGGTGAATAGCATATTGCGACATGTTGCTGAACTCATGGGCTACAAAAGCAATGAAAAATTAGAAGAGCTCTATGAAAAAACAGCCTGGTTCTTTGATTCTAAGTACAACAAGGCTGGCTCATCTTATGAAGCTTTCAAACATGCTGTACAGTAAGTAGTTTTGTTAAACTCGATATGTAAAGTGGAGAATTTCATTCTGCTTTGCAGTAGTATAGTTTTAAAAAAAAATTATTTATGAAATAAGTGCTTAAAAATATATTCTTAAAATGTATATCCATATGTAGGCCAACATATGGAATTTTAATCTCTGTGATAGCATAGCATATCTGTCTTAAAACAATGCTGAAAATCACCTTCTCAAGAAACCCTAAAGATTAAAAAATGAATACCAAAACTTTCCAAGCACGGTTTTCAAATGCATGAAGTTTCAGCTTCTCATTGAAACAGATAATGCATTAAATTGTATTGTTGAAGTTGATGTTTAATTAAAAGTGTTATCAGCCTGTTAAATGGTAAATTTGTTTTCAATGCTGACAAAACCCATATAAGATTATTTAAGATAATGGTGAGATGTGAACAAACTATCTTTCTTAAAAATTCGGTTTGGGTTAAATTAAGTCAATCTGAGGGTCACCATCTGAGGTCATCAAATAACCTGTGGCACTGCTTATTAGGCTGTTTATCACTAGATATCAAGAGTGATTGCAAATGTTTAATCTAGTATATACCAAATTTGTTTACTAATCTTTCTTTTTAATGCAAAAATGATTAAATCTTGTTATTGTCATGTTATTCCTTTATGACAGTTCTAAAATGGTGTTAATTTATTTTCTCCAGAAATCCTAATGTTTTGGATGAATGTGAGATTGATGATGCCACAAAGAAATGTTTACATGACAACATTTGTAGGCGGCTGACACCACAATCTGTTAAAATTAGAGCAGGTAGGAAATTCTCCAAGTACTATTAATAGATTTTATGGTCACAAAGTAACTGCTCTTCTTGATATTAGATTATTTTTTATTAGTTTTAAGGGCAGAAACAGTTCGGCTATTTGTATAGTCATTGTGCATTTTTACTACATTTAACAGATATTGATGTTGCTTGTACATACTATGAAGGTGTTGATGCTGTGAAGAGAGCACTCAAAAAGGGCCTCGAAATGTCTACTGAATCTATGCCCATTAAAGTAAGGAGGACTTCAATTGGTTACCTTAACAAATCTTTGGATTTAAGAAAGCACTATATTGATTTTGCATCATATGTCTGTTGTAAATTTATAGCAATCAAAACTCAAATGAAATAATTAAATGGAATGCTAGATTATATGTCATTTTTATGAAAAATACTCTAGCATCATTAGCAATCGTTTGGCAACATTTATCCTTATGAAGGAAATGGAGAAGAAATCAACTAGTGCCAACTATATATACTTTTCTATTCATACATTTCAGTGGGGCATTAATAATAACCAATACTAAGATGAAAATATTTTTTTTACCTACCTTAGTTTGAGACCAACTAGTTTTTCTATAACAAAAATTCTTTTTAACAGTTTCCATAAAGTTTGATAATGGCCCATGTATCTTCAGATCAATTTAATTGCACCACCTTTGTATGTGGTGACAACAAATACATTAGAGCGTAGTGAAGGACTGGAGAGGTTAAACAAGGCACTGGAGGCCATCAAAGAAGAAATCACAGCAGCAAAAGGAATTTTCAATATTCAACAAGAGGTCTGTATTTTAAGTTAATCCTTCTGTTAATTGACTACATTATACAACTTTTATCTCTGATGGCTAAACAAACAAATCATATTTATTTAGCTTTAAGAGTGGGTAAAGAAAAAATTGTGATGTACATCTACACTGTTATTTGGCATCACCATCTTTTTTTAGTCCTTTATTTTCTCAGGGCACCTATTAGTGTCCAAATAACATGACATGGTAATAAATAGTGTGCTCAACTGTGGCATTTAAGTATTTCTAAAAAGATATATATATATATAAATATACCAATTTGTTTATGTTTTTTAACTTAATTTTTGTTTTGTTTTTTGTGTGTGTGTTCAGGCCAGAGTTGTCTCTGACATTGATGAAATAGAGCTGGAGAAACAGTTGCAGAAACTTGAGGAGGCGAACCAGGAGAAGGCTGGAGATGATGATTCTGAAGAAGAAGGTGATGAGGACGACAGTGATAACAAAAAGGAAGGAAAGGGGGATAATGAAGATGATGACGATGGTGTTGCTATTGAAGGGGAAGATGATTAAATTTTATCCAAAAGAAATGCAAGAAAGGTTTAAAAGTTGCTTGGATGGAAAGTGAATTTCTATCTGATGTCTTTGGATTAGAGATGATTGACTTAACACTTGTGTCCTGCATTCAAACTTTTCATCTGGACAGTCATGCCAAGTTATTTCTTTTCTTTCGGTATTTAATTATAACTCTGAATAGTTTGAGTATATTTTTTAAGTTTTTGATTTCATTATGGGAGTAAATAAATAGTTGAACTCCAAGATATGTTTAGACTTGAAAAAAGAAAGAACAATTAAAAGGACATTTTAAGTTAAATGCCTTCTTACAAAACAAGAAAAAAATTATTTGAAATTGAAAAAACTTAAGTGTTCCCAGGGGACAATGTAGCTTTCTCAGTCTGTGTAACATCAAAGGCCCAACGTGGAAATGGAAAATAACATTATTGAAGGAGTTGTTAGTACTTTTCTTAAATTAAGAAAAAAATATATTGGATATATATATATATATTTTTTTTAAAGTTGGTTAATCCTGTGTACGACTTGAAGAGGTAGAACATTTTAAGTACGGTAATAAATAATTTGAAAGCCTAATCCAAGATTTGACCAGACAAGATGAAATCAATCTAAAACGACTAGTCAGTGAATGTTTCTGATATCCTCTTTATACACAGAGTCATTTGATGAGCTGCTTTTAGTTATACTTAGGTTATTTAGCATTCAAGAAGACTTACTTGCTGCCAAAATAAATCTGAAGAATTCTTTTTGTCTTGGATCTTGTGTTTCAGATTTTTATGATTCATTTGGGATATTATTTCAAATCTTTGGGAATATTTGATAGATTTAATCATTCTGTTTAAGTAAGTGATTTTAAAAGAAAAATCACACCTTGCTTAGGTTATTAAAGAAATGTGTGTTTGTGCTGGGCAGGATGTGTAGTAACTTTCTGTTTGTCTTTTGTATAAAATTAAATCAAACTTTATTACCTATATGTAGCTATGGCTCTTCACTGAACTACACTTACAATACTGTCAAGTCTAAGGCTGCAAAATGTGCGGTAGCAGAATACATTTCTCTGTGAATATAGCTGGTATAATTGTTATAATTATTATTGTGATTTCATAATGTACTTGAATTCATCATGATGTTTCCTCCTCTGTTTGAATGTGGGAATGGGAAAATAACATTGACTGAAAGGTGAAAATAAATTTCATTTGATGAATTTTATATCAACTCTTCTTTTTTTGGTTCTTTTTTATTAAGTTTTTTAAAAATTGTATGAAAGTTTTTAATTTAAAATAAGTTGCATCATACAAATTCAAAGACTTCCAGGTGTCTAAAATTTGCTAACACAACTGATGCAGTTACCCTTTAATTAATCTATTAAAGTTTTGTTGATCTTTAATTAAACATTCCAAAATGTGCCATAGGGGGAGATAACAATCCTAGAAGTAATCCCTTTAATGTCATTTGCAAAAAAAAATATTTCAAATTGTTATTCAAATTTAAAGATGCAGCAGGAAAAGGGACAGTTTGTTGGTTATATATATATAATGTTTAACTAGATTGGTCTGTTAAGATGGGTCATTAGATTGGTCTGTTAAGAAGGGTCATTTTATTTTTGCGAAATAATTACCATTTCATTTTGCTCAACTCTGCGAACGTCTGTCGCGTCCCTTGGGGGTAGAGCCCCTTTCCTTCCCCCTGATTTAACTCCTTAATTCCCCTGATATTGAGTTAGCTGCTGATATGATTTATGACACATGAATAAACCTCTAGACTAGAAACCAAATGTGACTTTGTTTAGATTTATTTTATATCCTTATAAAGGCAAAGATAACTCAAGGACGATGCCCAATAACGAAAACATTTGTTGAAATAGTTTCAAGTTACGGTTTAAAAGATTCATGATATTAACATTTATTTATTGATTATTATTTTTTTTTTTTTAAAATTACCTGAATTTTTAATTGGGAGTGGGTTGGGGGGGGCGGGGACCAAGCGGTAATTTAACTAAATAAATTCGAATGTTGATCGTCAGAATTGATTTATTTTTTACATCCACGTCTTTAGTTTTATAAGCATCGATCTTTACACAGATAAATTATAGTCAGATTGAAATTCTTTTTGTTTACGTGATTACCAAGCATTTGCTACGGATCTGCCACAATCAGCGTAGTACCAAAAAGTCAACGTGCAATGATCTACTTTCGACGTTCACAGTCACACCCTGTCATAAAACGTGATCATTGACTGTTGGTAAACACTGCTTGGAGATAAGAGCAGTGGCGGGGACAATGAGGTGTTACTACACTGAATGTACGTTTGGTTGATACGGTGGACATGCAGCCCCTCAAACCCACCTGCCCCCTGGGGGGGGGGGGTGGGACACACAAAATCAACAAACTACCATAAATCAACAGAAAGATAATTTGTTGTAAAAAAATGTGCTTTATTCTTCACGAGATTTGGGTGATACGGGGGACACGCACCCCCCCAAACCCCCCTGCCCCCTGGGGGGGGGGGGTGGGACACACAAAATCAACAAACTACCATAAATCAACAGAAAGATAATTTGTTGTAAAAAAATGTGCTTTATTCTTCACGAGGACGCTTTGCTGGGTACGCCTCTGATTTGCTTTGCTGGGTACGCCTCTGATTTGGTCAACTACATTAGTGCTTCTTCGGTATTGATTATTATTTTTTTAGTTTGACTGACCAATAAAACTGATGCATATTGTAGAAGTAGGGACCGGTGCACAATTTATGTGAATGCTGGACTTTGTTTCCGTCCATCTAAATCAGTGGTTCTCAACCGTTCTATTGCCGCGACCCTTTAATACAGTTCCTCATGTTGTGGCGCCCCCCCTCCCCCACACCAACAAAATTATTTTCGTTCATACTTTATAACTGTAGAGTATTTGTATTTTCAGAAGGTCTTAGGCGACCCCTGGGAAAGGGTCGTGCGGCCCTCAAAGGGGTCGCGACCCACAGGTTGAGAACCGCTGATCTAAATCGTTCCACTTCTGCGAACCATTACCTAATGGCTCTTGGACCAAGACATAAAGTAGCACGCCACTGCCTCTCTAAACTCTCACCCAAAACAAACATTAAATAAGTCGAAAATTCATCTATACATTTAAAAAAATAAATTTATAACATACGTAATTAAAATATTTTGTTTGCTAATGTTAACTACCTTTATGTTAACAACGATCAGTTATACAAAGCAATCAAGAAGGCTATCAAATCAAACTCCATTTTTTTTCTCAAAAGCTTTATCCCCCAATTTCATAAAATTTTTTGTTGGTGTTGTTAAAAACTTCCGAGGCTGGTGTATCAGAACACTACTATGCGAGCTCTGCCTGCACATCCTGTGGTGTGCGTGACAGCTGACACGGCTATTTCTGGTGTCTTTCACGCCGCCCTCACGCTGCTGACCAGCCGAATCATTATTCTGAATGGCCAAGGCCAGCCTCGCTCTGTCACTGAGCATACTATTCTCCTTCACAACAGAACCATCGCTCCTCACAACGGGCACGATCCCGTACCTCTGGTAAAGATCCAGACGCGTTCGCTCCATGTTGGTCATCCCTTTTACCGTGTAGCGCAGCAGGTCCCAGCTTTGTTTCGACCGTCGCTTGCGTCTCTCCGCGGTCAAGACACGAACGTGTGACCGCAGGATCCTCCAGCCTCGTTCTGCGTTCTCGGTCACCGAACTTTTCGACTGCCTCGCCGTGTTCAGATCTGCCTCTATGCTTATCTCTTCGATGCCTCTAAGGGCGCGGAGAGCTCTGGCCCTACCCAAGAAACGAGCCGCGTAGAGATTCGTTTCTTGCGTCAAATTCGTGATATTTTGGGGTTTACCGTGCTGCATTGATTTATACATATCGGCCATGACTTTTTGGAAAATCTGGCTAGAATTTACGGGTTTTGTTGCCTGGTTGGTCAGAGGGGCGTTGAAGTCACCCACAAGCTTCAGCCGAGTCTCAAGCTGGTTCAACGCATCCTTGTGAAAGTTGTACCCAGTTGAATACGACGCGGTTGAATCTGCGGAAACGGACGAATTGGATCGAGATCTCTGGTTTGGCTGCAGCATACCGCTGTCGTGGATATCCAGTCTTCTTGAGTCCTTTTTGGAAGTCTGGCGATGCTTTTCGGTGGTAGCTGGGCATCCGGGTGTTACCGAGGACCAGTCGTCAATGCGAATAACTGGATGAGCTGATTTAGCGCGTTGTAGAGGGCGACGTGATGCCTCGGTCATGCGCGACGACTTAGCCCGTCCTTGTTTCAACACATTTCCGTGTAGTGGTTGCCTGTCATCGCTGATGTCCACGAAGGAGAAACTGGATAAACCGAGCGAAGAGAGAGAGCTCCGATGTTTTGAAATGTCAGACGATTGCGAGGAGTTCTCTCTACGTAAAAGATGCTCCGTATGTTTACCCAGCTTAGCATTTGCTGCAGATCTTGACCATTGAGAGTGTTTGTTATTGTCTGAATTTTCAAAGTATTTAAGTACACTTTTCCCACTCGGATCATCGTCTGTAAATAATAAATATAACAGAATCAACTCTATGCGATTAACGTTTACAATTCCTTGACAATGACCAAACTTCAAAATGTTTAATAACCTAAAATAAAACCAGATCTTTGATGCATGCGTGCATGCTACAACAATTGCACCCACTAATAACTATAACGTAGGAAAGCGGGCGGGGAAGTTGGTCCGCCTTGTGCGTTCCCCCCCCCCCTCTATAATTTGAGGGGCGACATCTTTGGCCAACTCCACCGGGGTTTTTTTTTTTTTCGTATGGAGTTTGGAGTTGGAAAAGAGGGAAGGGGGAGGCTAACGCGGCAAATGTTCTTACCCGCCACGGGTGACACCAACCCTAGCTAGGGCACCGATTTCACTGGCAACCCTATTTATATCTTTAACAACTAATTTTTTTGTCCCAGCTCAAAAGTTAGTTTTCACGTTCAAAGTTCACAGACAACACCCACTTTAAGCTTGCAGAAAGAAAGAGGCCCATCATTATATCTGAGGTCTCTAGAAGAGTCACAACGGTGCACAGTAGTAATTTACAGAGTCCAATAAACTCAAGCGGATTAACTATTAGCAGTAAAGGCGCTCTTCGGATTGGGGTCTGTCGGAGATCCACGTGATTAAAGAAATATGAAACTCGTTTACATTTCTTTTTTTTTTGTAATGAAAAGACATGAAGTTTATAAACTTTGGACCGGCTACAGCTGATGCGAGCGTTATGAGGTTTTTTCTCAGTGTTGTTAAGTTACACAGAAGCCGTGGTTTCACGCATACGATGCTGATATGATATCAGAAATATAATTTAACAGAATACTCATATTATTATGGAACACTTACTATGGAAAATCATATTAACATGCTTTGCAAGGCAATTTTCCTAGAGCTGCGCAGGATTAGTCATATCAGATCTTTCTAAACTGTAGATGCATCAAAGAGGCTGATGTCTGCATTTGTGTTATCACGTATGGACTACTGCAATGCTCTCATGGTGGGTTTCCCAGCTACGCTCCTGGATAAAATTCAAAGAGCACAGAATAATGCGGCTCGCATTGTTCTTCGCAAACGCAAATTTGACTATGCTAAAACACTTCTGAGAGAGCTGCACTGGCTGCCGGTCCGCGCTCGCATAGAGTACAAAATTGCAACTTTGTGCAACCGCTGCTTACATGACTTGGCGCCATCTTATCTCAAAGCACTCATGACGCCTTAAGTACCCACTAGAGAGCTCCGCTCATCCGATAGTGACAAAATATCGATACCGTGTGTTCACCTTTAGACCTACGGAAAGCACACCTTTGCATTTGCCGGCTCAACAATTTGGAACGCCCTTCCAGTCGCTCTCAGAAACAGCCAGACACTGGAGTCCTTTAAAACCGATTTAAAAACAAATCTATTTCGCAAACACCTTCTGGGGTGAAGCTGTCTACCATCTTTTTCAGTTAATGTATATTGGCTTGTGTTGCTTATGGTTGAAACGGGATGAAAGACTTTGACTTGGTATGCTCGTATGTAGCTTTATATTGTTGCGTCTGTTTTTAAAATGTGGTAAATTTCAGATTGTTTTTATTTCTCTTTTTAATATGGTTGACTTTGTACCGCGCTTCGAGCTTTTGGGGATGAAGCGTGTTTTTAAAATAAACTTTATAATAATTATTATTATTATTATTTACCGATGAGATACCGTCCATAAATTATTTCACGCTCGGAAAAAAAAGGGGGGGGGGG